TTCTGTATACTAGGTTCTCTGCCATGCAGAATTGAGCTAGGTTTGGCGCAATGCTGAAAACTCTGTTCTGGAATCCAAACTCTGTTGGCTGACTCTTCTCATTTAAAAACAGCAATTGAATTATTGGGATCAAATTGCTGACAAAAAAGAATTCTGTATAAGATTAATGGGGGGGGGGCACACGTTGCTGCTGCTGTGCCATAAACTTCAACGTGCCTTTCTTTTAGATCGTAATTAACTTTATCAGGACACACAAGAAAAGTACTTATTCAAACTTTAACCATGTTATTTGCTCCCACATGTGGAAAGGATAGCCACCAACTTGTATGGCTTTAAAAGACGATTAGAGAAATTATTTGAGAATAAGGTTCTAAGTATGACTCTGAATACCAGCTTCTGGGAATACCAGCTTCAGGGATAGGACTGTTGCACTAGGTTCCTGCTTACAGACTTCTCATGGGCATCTACTTGGCCACTGTGAGAACAGGATACTGGACTAGATGGGCCTTTGGCCTGGTCCAACAAGACTTTTCTTGCTCCTTTGTGCCACTTCAGTTTAACCATTGGTATGTTTGCTTCTCTGTGTCAAAGATGGCCAACTTCTGCTTCATAGGCTTGTTTACGATTGGTGGTATGCTCTTTGCCATTTGTGAAAGGCAAAATCCTTTCTCTGTTGTGGATCTTAATGGTTCTTGCATGCTGGAGTGTACTTGTGTAGAAAATAATATTACTCTTATCCGCCATACTCTAGAAGGAGAGGGCAGATCCTGGCTACCACAAATTTTTGGTCTCCTTGTTTACTGGATCTGGACAGACACTAAATCTGAATAAAGATTTGACATATAGGTTTGGATCCAAAGATTGTTCTCTCTCCCTCTCTCTCTCTCTCTCTCTGTGTGTGTGTGTTTGTGTTTTCACCTGTTTTCTCCAATCATCTGCAGCAAACTTGTGAAGTAGGGAAAATGAGTCTTTTCCCTGCAGAAGATGAAGCATGTTCCATTTATGTAGTGGGATAATTGAATCCAAGTCAGAGAGCTGTGTGCCCTATCCTTTTGCTATTTTTCCCAGATGAAGATTTTTGTCCTGATGTTGAGCTCTGCAGAGATAATTGCAAGAAAGTTAAATGGAATGAGATGGAAGCAGCAAAACCTCTAAACATAAATGCTGGATGAATAGCCTTAGGAAAAGGGCAAGGATCCAATTGAGCAAGCTTATGATTAAGTTAGAAATGACAGTGTAAGCAATAAAAAGAGTTTCAGAACAATAATATGTGCTGCAGTGGCTGTGATCACATTGAAAAAGGAGAACATCAGCAAGATGTACTTAGGTTAGAAGTAAAAAAGCTTGGATTGATTTTGTTCAGCTGGATGCAGATCTTCACATGTATTATTCCAAGTGAAGAATTGCCTTCTGTAAGATTTCTGTCAAAGTTCAGTCAGCTAGGGTTAATATAGAAGAACAGTCATGTTTTGGAATATTGACCAGTGTTGGCCATTTACAGAAAGTCTTAATTTTTATTGTGGCTATTTCAAAAGATAAATGAACCTCTTGCATCATATAAATGCCACAGGGTTTTATCAAATCTAGATTTCCTAATTAATTTTGCTGGACTTGATGAGATTGTAGGTAAATTAATATAAGACCCCTTTTTAAAAGATGGCTTGAAAGCTCTAGTAATTGTTTTTATTTTTAAAACATGCAGGGAAATGTTTGAAGGTCTTGGAATGGGAGCTGGTGAAAGAGCTTGAGCTCCTAATGTACTGAAATATACATGTGAGTGTGTTTTATTCTTGGTATGGTATAAGATCAGTGGCCCATTTAATCCCATGACAGTCTAATCTAGCTAGTCAATGGCACTTCAGAATCTTGGGCAAAAATATTTTCTAGTTCTGTTGATCTCCTTTAGCTGGAGTTGCCAACAACTGAAACAGGGATCTTATGCCAGCAGTTTATCATGCACAGAATCTTGGATAGATTGGAATAGGAAATTGGATACATTGGATATGCAAGACTTGGGAATTCTTAATCATGTGGCGTTTCAGTATTGGGCCATGTATATCAGCAAAAGCTCTGGATAACACGACTTCTAAATACAGCCAATCATCCAAACCGTGGTTTAGATTGGGAACAAGTTATGTGTGTGCCTTGCCCTTCCCATTCTGAAGGAATAATTCAAACCCATGTTCTGGTTTGAATGCCATGGAGAATTGTCCTCTCTCAAACTAGGAAATGATCTGCTAAGCAGGGTGCATGAAGTAGGGGAGCACACATCAACACTACTCGTTCCCAGTTTCCCAAGCCATGATTTTGGAAGACTGGAGAATGTGATGTCTGAAAGTATCCTGGAAAATAGATACTGGCAAATCACATAACTCCTGAGCGAATGGCATAACACTGGCCAAACTTGATATGCATAACCTAAGGCCTAAGCAATAAAAACCTGTCTGCAAATGATGGCTGGTTTCCTTCCCCTCACCCCACTTCTCCAGATACCATAGCATAGCAACTAAATATGCTGGTCAGGAACTGAGATGTCAGCATCTCATTACGTGAAATGCGATAGAGATTGACAGCAGCAATGAAAGTATACTGGGCTCCATCTGGACTTTATTACGATATTTTAAAAGATGTCTCCTTCAAATCATTCTTCATTAACAGCCTGGTGAGAGAATCCCTCTTAGTAGTGATTCCAGGAATAATTTTTGAAGTGGATAATGCCCTAGTTAAGTGCAATATAAGACTCTTGCATGGAAAGAACATTAAACAGACAAGAGTTGGGAAAAGTCAGCAAGATTAGAAAGGCAGAAGAAGAATTCTTGCAGTTACTGCAAAGGCTGTGGAAGACTGCTGTGGACTAACCTGACATAGGTTCTGTAGTGCCCAAAATTTGTGAGCTGGAACATCATTGCATTGAGGAGCATTTTGCAGTTAATTCAAATTGGGCATTTCAGGCTTGGATTTGGAACTTCAGTTTATCCTGGAATTAGCTGTTGTGCAAAATTGTATAAAAGCCACAGCCATCCCATATTAAAGTTGAGAGTAAATCTGCTAATTGGTTTGCTGGTGGAAAAGAATGTCTGTTGCACTGGTTTCTAATGCACCTAATTATTTGGTGGTGGTATTTGGCTGAATATCCCTCATACCCAAGGTCTCTGGATGCCAGTGGATGAGGTGCTTGAATCCTCCTGCACATATCAGCAGCATGTGGCCTTTGGAGTTCTGCAGTGCAGCCCGCGATATGCTTCTGTGGCCAAGTTCCTGCTGCTGTGTTTTGTTGACACTTCTTATGAATTTCGTTGTGATTTCAACAGGGAAAAATGTGTACAGGGATGTACCTTCCTTCCCAATACTGTTGTAAGCTGTAGTTTCCCGTCTTACAGTGCAATAGCTAAGTACTATAGTGGCTCAGAGTGTCAGTGGTAAAGAAATGTCTTAGCTGGGGGCTTTCTGCTGAGGTTGGGGAGATGGCCTACAAAGTGAGAGGCTAGGAAGAAAGGCTTAGTAAAAAGAGCCAGGGACCTGAGGTGGCAGCACTGATAGTCTAGAATACGAGAATTGTATGAAGGAAGGTGAAGGATAGAGTGAGAAATCTAGGTGAGAAAACGGAGAGGAAATTGTGCTTGTGGAGAGGTGAGAAAGCCTGCAATTTCCACATTGACTTGAAATAAACAAAAACTTTGTGTGCAAGCCCTGAACATCTTGGAAAGGTAGTTTGACAAACTAAACCGGACCACTCGATTTATTTTATGGTTCTAGAATGCAGAGCTGGAAATCCTAATAAAACATAAGAATTTGAAATTAAACAAAAGCGTTTACCTTACTTCCCTTGTTTACTTTTGAATAACTTGGGCTGTTCCCATTTTAACAAATGGAGAACCAAAGGCTAATTTTAAAAGTTGAAACCCCGATATGGAGGCAACTGAAAACACCTCCTACATCTTAGTGATTGACAGCACAATACTTAATTTTTGCAGTTATTTATATCCTGTGATTTAGAATACAACTCCTTCCAAGGCTGCTTACAAGTAACACTAAACTACATTTTCAAAAGAAACACAATCAGTATCAACCTGTAAATTTAACTGGGATCCTTCCCACAGAACAGTTGATGGTAGATAGCCCTGGGGTGAGGGAAGAGGGAAAGGCCAGCTGGAACCGGCTCTAGGATGGTCTTTGCCGGTGTTCCTCGCTTGAATATCAGCACTAACAGCTGAAAGTCTTTTCCACACCAGTTATTTATAGTCTTGGCAGTTGCTGTTGAAAAGGCACATTATGCAATTAAACCCAATGAAAAGCAAGCTTGCAAATTTAACAGTTATTGTCCTACCACGCTCACATTTTCAGCATCCTCTTTGTGGAAGTAAAGTGTCTGAGGAACTGAGAGTAGGACAATCGCAATAATCAAACCAAGGGTTGATGTGAGTTTTGAATGCCAACTTTTTATAGAGTTGGTCTATTGCTTTATCTGTTGGATCATGTTTATGCTAACCCGACTTGCTCCTGGAGCAAGTAGAACCATAAAAAAGAAGATCCTGGCAGGTCAACTTCTGAGGAACTTGTGTAATGAAAGCTTTCTCCTTAATCAAATCAAAAATCTAATAAAACAGCAACCTGTGAGTGGCCAGTAGAGCTTGATACATGTTGATGATGATTTTGTGCAATGTAGGTGATCTAGGAAGTTATGTGGGGTAGTTGGTCTGGTTCACAGATCACATTAAACCATAGTTTAGTCAGGATCCAATGAAATAGTTCCATTAGCTCAAGGATGTTTGTCTGCACAATAGAACTTCCCCTCCCTCTGCTCATCTTTGTAGGGTTGGGAGAAACCCCAGAACAGATTTAGGGAGCACACTGGGAGAGCTGAGGGAGGGGAAGTTCTGCTGCATAGCCAGAAAGCCTTGTGCTAATGGAGCTACTTTACTGGATACCACCCATTGTGCTTCACTGTGGCTTAATGTGTTGGTGTAGGCTGCTGAAAAGTCCCTATTTTTGTTCTCACCCACTCCTGACCAAACAAACCACAAGCAGCGAACCAAGTTTTTTTTAGTTCTTGGCTCACTACTTGCGGTTTATTTGGATAGAAACGAACCACAAGTCTAGGTTCAGGTGACACAACAAGCATAGACTTATGGCATGGCCAGGAGTGGCAAAGGAGCAAAGTGTGGACCTTAGAGCATCATGAGCCAGTGTGCTGCTCCTTTGTGTTAAACCATAGTTAAACTATAGTTTAATGTGATATGTGAACTAGGAAAATATCAGATTCTTTGGCAATCCCATCATGACATATGGTACAGCAAAACCAATCCATCTTTATGCATTTCTAGCCTTCTTTAAATATTGGTTATATATAGCTCCTGTTATGAGAATTTTTGAACAGGTGCCAATTTAGGTGCTACTCCTGTAGAAGTGGTGGAAAAAAAGCAAGGATGAACTGAAAAATTCCAGTTACATGCAAGAAGAAAATTCTAGATTGCACAATAAAACAGCTTAACTAGATTTACCTATCAAAATGATAGATAAGGAAATAAATATGCATAAACCAGGAATAGAATTGAAAATTGGCATGGGACAATACTGATTCAGCAGAGAGAAGAGAATCAAACACTGCAGCTGACGTAGCAGATATAACTTGGATACAGCTAAAGGGCACTGAAGCTACCTATACAACTTTTGGCTATTTCTGGTCTTCCAGCTAAGGAGTGATGTCTAAAGCAGTGAATGAGCAACCTTACTTTTCCATAAGGATGTTGTGGAATAAATTGAAATGCATAAGATTGATGCATTCAACAGTCTTGGGGGGAAATGTTTGGTTATGTTGCCCCCAGTAGTCTCAATGCTGATTTCTTTGCCTCCACTTCCTACCCCCCACTTCACAATACCCTGCAAATTCCAATTTCCCATTCCTTCAGCTGTTTCATTAGAACTGAATACCTAACTGGGCATGAGTAGCACTAGCTGTTAGAATTCCTGCTCCATGATCACAGTCATGGGATTGTTGTCTTTCACATGACTGTGTATGTTTTGACTCCACAAAGTGGGAAGTGACGGAGACAGGATGTTCGTGTTACTGTGTTCCGTGAAGTGGGACTATTGTCCTTTGTTCTTTCTCTTTGCTATCTGATGCTAGAGAGAGAAGGAGCCATGTTGCAGTGCTCCGTGTGTGTTTATATGTAAATAAAGTAGATTAGCCAAAATGCTGAGTTGCTGAGGTCTGTCATGCAAGCTGCAAAGACTCTGCGGATCCCTAAGTGTGCCGATGTCTGTTGGCATCGGTCACTGTGATGTTTGGGCAGAAGAAAGCTCCGGAACGATCGACCAGGAGGGAGGGAACATGCCAGTCGGGCATGTGTCTCTGCCAGGGTCCTACTCAAGAGTAGGACGAGCTCCTGACCCTAGCTTCATTGAGGTGCTAACTGCATATCCTTATACTGAACAGAACTTGCATGTATGAGTGTTTCTAGACAAGGTATTTACTCTGGGATTACCCAGTCTTGGTTCATTCACTACTTGGCTCACTACTCATTGACCTGCTATGTTTTCCCTAGATTCCTTCTGATGTCTTTTTAGACGATGATGATAATGATAATAAAGTGACATTTTAAAAGTATGGGAGAGTTGTGCTGTCTCCAAGTTTAGACAGTCATAGCATTAATCACCTGATTTTTCAAAGAGGTGTGGTTTTGACATGTGCACTGATGGACCTATCACCACTTTACAAACTTTCTCTATCCTCCTGCTCAAGCGCTCATCACTTCCTGTACTGTTGGTAAGGAGAAAAGAAGAATCCACCCCTTCCTTCAGGAAGGTGCCTTACACATAGTCAGACCATGGGTCTAGTTAGCTCATTGTCTATAGTGACTGGCAGATGCTGTCCCAGCCCCACTGGGGATTGAATCTGGGACTTTCTGCATGCAAAGCAGACATTCTGCCACTAAAATACACCCCCATCTTTGCTTGCCCTCCTCTCTAAGGAACCTACCCTGAGGACCCTTGCCCTATTGTAGAGCGCAGTTGTGCTTTTGAGTGGGGAATTTAATTTAATTAAATCAAGCCTCTACTTCTAGGATGGAGATGTGTGAAAATGTCCTTCTGCCTTGAGACATCTTTGCCTTCCTCCACCCCCAGCAACTGGTTTTCCCAGGCCAGTTCAGAGTTTTGGCTCTGGTGCAGCAGGTGCCCAATCTAGAAGTTGTTTTGTTCTTTTTAATTAGTTGCAGTAAAGTTAACAACACAAGCTATAAAGAATAGTGTTAAGGAGTTGGGAGCACTTATGTTTGCTTTAGTTCTGTATTTTGATGTGGGTTGTGGTCAGAGCTCGGCAGAAGTCCCTCTGAATCTCTGCTTGTTTTGGTATTTGTGCCCCACTACCTTCTGCTCTTGTTCCTGGTTTTCAGGAGCAAAATTATTCCTCAGCAGGGAGTGCAGAACGAAGGGCATTGCCCATTGCCTGAAAGGGGGAAACAAATGCCACAGGTTCAAGAATGTGTTGTGTGTGGAAAAAGTACTTTTGTCTAAACCAAGATAGTACTTCCTTTTTCTAAACTTAAAAAGTCATAAACATTTGCGCAGAAGGAAGGTGCTCTAGACACCTCATCACTTTGGTTATTTTCTGTGTTCTCCACGTCCCTGTTCTACAGTGTCCTTCCTGAGATGCAGTGATCAGAACTGTACAGAAGGGAGATAAGAATGTGTGTTAGCTAGAAATTGATTTGGAGATGATCATTCTTCAGTAGCATGGTAGCTGTAGTAACTTAGTTTTGGAGTAGGGAAATAAATGTAAGCAGCGTTCAGTGATACACCAAACATAGTCTTCACTTCCCATCTATGCCGTGATTCTCAGTAGAGCAGCAGAAAATGCACAGTGGGGATAATTAACCAAAAGGACATGAAAGCAAAGTATTTTAGCTGATTAGTATACGCTTCAAATGATAAAGACCTGCACAGGCCATTTTTGGTTTGGAGGCATAATTTTTTTTAAGTGGGTCACTCAGTACCATCTATTAAATTTTCCCTCTGCCTCTTCTCTCCTCCGCTCAGTCCCCCTGTTTCCAAGTTTAACCATTTGAAGGCATGCTTTCTTTCTTATCCTCATAATTTGCTTACACTGCAGAGCCTCAGCTCGCAAACAGGGATTTTGTACTAGAGATAACCTAATCCTCTTGCAGCAAAAATACCAACCCTGTAATGTACAGTACCCTCTTTCCACTCTCGAAGATTTTCAGTCAATAATGAGGTCCTGTTAAAAGTAACTTCTTTGCAGTTTTTACACAGGATTAAGGAAAGCAATCTCAAGGGCTAAAGGAAAGCTTAAGAATGATCAAAGGCGAACACTTTTACATGGGGCTGCAAAGGTGGAAGCACTCCTCTTATTCTCAAAGATGAGTTCTCTTGCTATGTTACGTACATTTGTTGTTCCCATAAATCCTGCCTAGCACAAATAAGGCTATACTACTTTTGCTCATTACAGGGCAATATGGATTTTATTTGGTAATGCTTTATTTGCATGGCCTTTAAGTGCTCCTGTCTTTTGGGGGCTCCAGGAGTGCCTAACTTTGCTAGGCCAGCAGAATCTAAATAGAGATGGCTGCATTCTTGTTTTTTGATATCCACATAGGTGCAGCTACAGGTATTCTGTTGCATTAGCCAGATGTCTGAGATGTGCATACCTGCCTAGCTAGCTCAGTGCTCCTGCTGTGTGGATGCCCAGGTTCTACATTAATAAAAGCTTTGTCTCTCATCTCATGTAGTCCTTGAGAGAGAATGTAGGTTGCATTCAGGGTTTCTCTCTTGGCAACATCTGCACTATATTTAAAGCAGTATCACACCACTTTAACAGTCATGGCTTCGCCCAAAGAATCCTGGGACCTGTACTTTGATAATGGTGCTGAGAGTTGTTAAGAGACCTCTCTCCCCCCACAGAACTAAAATTCCCAGAGTTCCCTGGGAAGGGATATTGACTGTTAAACCAGTCTGGGAACTGTAACTCTGTGAGGGGAATAGGGGTCACCTAACACCAGAATAGTGACTCAGGGTATGACTTGTATTTTTAAGCAGCTGGCTTAACTTTGACTCTCCCTGACACCCAACGTCCTGCAAGTTTAAATCCATCCTCTCAGTTTTGGGATGTTAATAGCCTCCAAACATACAGTTGAGGCTGCATCACAGCGAGGAGCATTCAGTGTGTTTAAAAACAAAACCTTGCCACATCCAACTACAAGAGCTGACAGTATGTCTGAATTGAAAAGCTCTGTGCTGCTATAGTACTGTAGGGAGTGGGAAGATTGGCCCTTAGTAATTGTTGCATTCTGCTGCAGTATAGACTTCCAGCAGAGTGCTTTTCTCTGTGAGGAGCAAGGGCCATGTGTGCCTTTTTCAGGAAAGCTTTTTTTAAAATAAAATAAAACTTTTTAAATTGTACAGCAAAGTACTTTTAAAAAAAAAGATTCAGAAGAACATAGCTTTTCTTTTTTACAAAAACCCAGAACTAATTCTTATGAACTGCATGTTCCTCTTTGGGTATTTGAGGCCGATTTCCTAAGATAAAGGACAGAAGAATTCAAAGCTTAAAATTGCTTGTTTTTGTAATTCCCTTAGTTTATTAGAATAAATAAACTGAACCTCCCTAACAGCAACTTAAGGCATAACAAGGACAGACAGTTGCACCTGTTGGCTCCACCTTTCCAACCTCTGTGTGCTCAGATCTAAATGGGAGACCGTTTTTATCCACTGCTTGGAAGATGGGAGGGTGCAGCTCCTGGGGCAGAGTTTGTGGGTGTAACCCTGCTCTTCAAAAACATGTGCGATTGTGTGGATAAGAAACTGTGAAAGGGACTGGAGTGCCGGTGCCATATGGACTCCAAAATCCCTGGAGGTGGAGGGGGAAACTCCTTGGATATAAAAAATCCCAAAATATATAAAACATTGACCACACTGCTTCTATAACGAATAATCAATACATGCTTCTTCTGCTACCACACTGGCAGTAATCACAGTGAGTTTGCATTCTGCCTTCCAGCTCGAAAGTGTACGCGCAAGAGGAAACGTCAGAAGAAGCTGGAGCCCTTCTGTGACTCCTCCTAAATAGCT